GTTCTACATCAAATTTAACTTTATGAATATGAACCTCCTTCGGTAATACTTGACCTGAGAAAGTTATGACAATTGACCTGCTTGGTACCCACTTAGGGTCATCTTCTGACTTTGACTCAGCCCTGAATCTTTTATTGAGCCTCCTAACATGTACCGCTTTGTAATTTGCTTCAATAACACTCATAATTTCTTTTTCCGGAATATCTTCGTCTACGCCTCTAATTAAACCTCTTCGCATTAATCTATGTCTTGGTATAAAGGCTTCCAAGTCATATTCTTCGAGAATCGGATCCTCCAATAATTGATTAGCTTCATATAAGTACTTAAAGCTCACCTCAACTTTAGATCTTGATTTGCTGCTTATTAGTTTGATACTTTTGTACCGATTACAGATAATCCTACCTATCTTGAGGGGACTCACCCGCTTGACCAGGGGCTCATTTTCAGCTAACTTTTTATGTTGTATCCAGACAGAATACGGACCATCATTGTCATCCTGGAAGAATCTAGGTAGAATAATATCCTGATTTGTAAGAGTATATTTAGTAACCTCCTGCGACGGCATCTGCGCAGAAACAATGGGCTCGACAGATTGCTGTTTCTTACTCAAATGTTCATCTGACTGTGCACTTTTCCTCTTATTACGGCTAGCGGAAGCCCAGTCCATACTTTCCTCATAAGAAGTCATCTTATATATTTAGCGGTCCCCGCCCGCAAGCGCGGGAGAGGACGACACCGATATGCACGAAGAAGAAACTTTAGGTTAAGTCACTGTTTACATGCGAAAGTCAGCCTCAGACGGATGTACTGAGGTAAACAAAAAACCGCTGGATAGCCCAGGCACCGGGGACGTCTTTACGACTCCCCTACACAACAACAATCCGCAAAGAGAGCGATATCTGCGTGTTTCTCAATCTTACACTCCTCTCCTCGATCTCTTATCGACTATCTCCTCATCATTTCCTTTCGGCTGTGTTAACGATCTAGTATAGTATAGACATCTGTGGCCCCGACAGTATAATCGTAGAAGTCGTGTTGCCCTGTGTAGGGGGGGGGGGAGTTACTTCGCGTGGAAAGTGTAGTCGGTATGACAGATTTCCTAACCTGAATAGTCGTCAACTTTAACGCTTAATATCTCGGTTCGTAGGGCAGAGCGACACTTTTTTCTGCCAGATTCTTTCGTTTCGTGCAAAAACGCGTCGAATGAGCCTAGTTTCATTAAAATCGGTGAGATCGGCCGTTTTCTCCATAATTACCCTAACGTCTTATACATGGGCGCCAACTTTTGCGGGGAGTGTGTGGAGTACTCCACATGCCAGAATTTTTCATGTGTGGAATTCCACATATGAACTATTTTTTGAAAATAATTAGTGTTGAATAAAAATAGAAAAATTTTTTTGGAACTTTATAACATCTCTCGGAGACGTTATTACGATTCTTCAAAAAGATAAATCAGTGAGAGACTTAGTTTCAGAGTACACAAAACTAATTAAAATATTATTAACAATACCGATGACGACGTGTACTGCAGAACGTTCTTTCTCTGCCTTGAGAAGATTGAAAACGTATTTACGTATTTTAAATTCATTAGCTGTATTGTACGTGCACTCCGATATTGTTGAGACTTTAGATATTGAAGCACTTGTGGATGAATTCATTGTAAGAAATAAGAATCGAAGCTCAACGTTTGCTCTAAATGATTCACGAACTTAAATATATTTCTAAGAATAATGTATTGATATATAAATGTATACTCTATTAATATATTAATTATATGCTGTAAATCTAAATGGTTCACGAAGTTAAATATATTTAATAACAATATATATATATATTGAATGATGATGTTCGTAGACTCGTAAGATTTAAAATCATAGAAAGTGACAATGCCTACTCGAGTCATTGTAACAGGATGTTAATTATAATTGTGTGAAATTATGTACCGCGTATGTAGACCTCTTCGCGACGCTGATGAGTTTTCAGCATTGACGCATACGTATTAACTACCGCGGTAATATCACTTTAGTTAAATTGACATCACAATTTAACAAATTTTGATGCTATAGCATCTTAATTAGATCTTAATAATATGTTGAAAGACATATATTAATATTTAATAATGAAATAATGATAATTTTTAAATCTGTGAAAATCTGTGAAAATAATAAGACTGCGAAGAATATCACAAGTTGGCGTTTCGTCCCGGTTTCCATTACTGGACTCATCAGTAAGGCATTGTAATGGAAACCTACCTTAGACGCCTTGGGAAGATGTTAGAAAGAATAATATATATATATACACAAGAGGCTCCTATAAATAAATCAAATATTAAAATAAGTTGCCGTTGAGAGCCAACACAGGATGAAAGTGTGTAATAAAATTTATTTAGTTACATAAAATCGCATACGTTTCGACCTTAATCCAGGTCCTTTTCAATGCATGAATTACACTAATATTAAAAAAATTCTTTGATGGAGTAAAATGGTGTCAAAAACAATTACAATACAAGAAAGTAATAATAAGACTGCGAAGAATATCACAAGTTGGCGTTTCGTCCCGGTTTCCATTACTGGACTCATCAGTAAGGCATTGTAATGGAAACCTACCTTAGACGCCTTGGGAAGATGTTAGAAAGAATAATATATATATATACACAAGAGGCTCCTATAAATAAATCAAATATTAAAATAAGTTGCCGTTGAGAGCCAACACAGGATGAAAGTGTGTAATAAAATTTATTTAGTTACATAAAATCGCATACGTTTCGACCTTAATCCAGGTCCTTTTCAATGCATGAATTACACTAATATTAAAAAAATTCTTTGATGGAGTAAAATGGTGTCAAAAACAATTACAATACAAGAAAGCTAATAACTACATGGTGTTGTCCACTTGCAATCAAATATCACGATCACTGAAGTGCAAAATTCACTGAAATATATAGTGTGATCATGTCAGATTTTTATAGAATTTTAGAATTAAAAACCAAGAAAAAACATAGAATTTTAGAATTACAACACCATGTAGTTATTAGTTTTTCTTGTATTGTAATTGTTTTTGGCCCCATTTATTCCATCAAAGAATTTTTTTAATATTAGTGTAATTCATGCATTGAAAAGGACCTGGACTAAGGTCGAAACGTATGCGATTTTATGTAACTAAATAAATTTTATTACACACTTTCATCCTGTGTTGGCTCTCAACGGTAATTTATTTTAATATTTAAATATATTTCTAAGAATAATATATTAATATATACATATATATACAAACATAAATAAAAATGAGCAACAGCCACAACGCAAGATGTCATTCGCAAAGTCATGTATTTAAAAAGAAAATATAAAAGTAAACGTTTCGGTCAATTTTTGACCATCCTTAGTACAAAGAACTTAACGTATTTAATATATAATTTAATAATAATTCGCTAGATGTTAATAATAATATCATGAAGATTTTTAATAATGTAAGAACGAACAAAACTATGCAATTTAAAAGATGTCAATATTTAAAAGTCAAATAAATTTTTTTATTTTAATTTTCCATATAAACTATTGTATCGTTTATTAGTCAATTGTGTGTACCACACAAACGTATTCGAGATACTGAATTATGTATTAAAAAATTATTAATTTTATTTATTTATAATGATTATATACTATTTACGATATATTTATAGTATCACATCAGTTGACCACACCTTTATCTACGCATAGAGTCCTAAATATCAGAGAAACGCAACCGGCTTAAGTCAGTACCGCAAAATTACTAAGAAAAGTAATAGGTAAGGTTGGAGTCACATGGAGCGGAAATTACAGCGGAACGGAACAGTGAATCCAATCAGAACTCTACAATCATTCCGCTGCTTTACTTTCTGCGATTGTGATTGGTCTCGCTGTTCCGTTCCGCTGTAGATTTCCGCTCAATGTGACTCCAGCCTGAGGGTGCGTTCCGAGTTACGCATGAAGCGCGTAGACTGCATAGAAAGTCGTTCCGAGTTAACTATTGCGCGCTTCGAAAGCGCTTCGAGAGTACTTGAATTCCCCAGATTGTACTAACCGTACTGAATTCTTAGCACTCCACTCGGCGCATTGACTGCTTCTCTTTCGACCTGAGGCAGTTGATGCGTCTGATGCGTTCATACGGTCTGCGCATGATTTGTAATTCGGAACGAGCAACGAGTACCGAACAACACAACAGTGAACGGACGAATATTTGTGATTTGCAATGGGACAGCGATTACAGTAATTGCATGAATTCCCGGTCTTATTAGAGGATAAAAATGAAATAATAACTTCATTTTTAAATAAAGAGGATATGGCGAAAACAAGCCAAGATAAAATTAATGGCATTATTTTACCTTGATTTATTTAATTTAATGTATAGATTAGACGTTATATTAATTAGGAATTACGCGATCGACGTAATTTATAATTTTTTCAACTCCAATTTGTTTTCCACGTGATTTATCTACCATTAATAGAAAAAATAACTTGGGACGAAACGCCAACTTGTGATATTCTTCGCAATCTTATTTTTTCACAGATTTTAATTTATCTTTAATTTAACATTACATCGTTAAAATTTTAATATGTCTTTCAACATATTATTAAGATCCAATAAGATGCTTTAAGCATCAAAAATTTGTTAGATTGCTTGTGTCAATTTAACTAAAAAGTGATATTACTACGGTAGTTAATTAGAGTTGCGTTGTAAGTCTGGAAAAATTTCAGCACGCGATTGAGGACTACATACGTGGTAAATAAAATTCATACTTTACATTTAGCAACCAAAATCCTGCTTGACCGTCATCGGCCAATTTCATTATCATATTTACTTTGTTTTAAACATCGACGGTCTTACACAAATATTAATTTTAATATAATATAATTTAATATGGTGTACAACTTTGCTTCCGCCGTTTTCCTATAGATGGCTTTAGCGGTAAGTGATGTGTGGCGGTAGGCACAACTATTAATATTATAATCGAGATATCTGGTTAATAAATTCTTTATTGCTTATACAATAATACACGGACTGTCGTTAGAAGTTCAGTCGAACAAAGTAATCAAGTAAAAGTTAGGTAATCCCCAGGAAGGGGGAAAACATCTCTCTAACAGTATATACCAACCTACATATATAAAGTAACTAAACATAAATACCAACTTAAATCTAAAGGAGCGCCACAGTACTCTCCTCCGAGTAGATTAGATAAATAAGAACTTAAGCTACGAAATGGACTTTTTTGGGACCCTGATATGAACGAAGTGGTGTAGATTGCGATGTTGAAGGTACGCTGCCTGAACTTAGGTCAACAGGATCAGTAGCCTCGAAGAATGCAGGCTTCAATCTTTCCGTAGAAATAGTTGTGGGTTTCCCGTTTACATCCACCTCGAACACCTTGTCTGTAATGCGCTGTAACACTTGAAAAGGGCCTTCGTGAGGAGGTTCCAAAGGTTTTCTTACTGAATCCACTCTAACAAAAACATGTGTGCAATCCTTAAGGTCTTGAAGGAAAAATGATTTATCTTTCCTGTGATGTGACGCAGGAATCGGTCTAATTGAGCGGATGTTTTGTCTAAGGCGTTCTAGAAACAAACGAGGTTGTTTAGTCGGTTCTATATCTATAAAGAACTCACCAGGAAGACGTAAAGGAGTTCCATAAAGAAATTCTGCTGCAGAGGCCTTACTATTCTCTTTGATGCTAGTTCGAAGGCCAAGAAGTACCATAGGCAAGATATCGACCCATTCCTGATTATTATGGCAGATGATTGCAGCTTTCAGGGTTCGATGCCAACGCTCGATCATACCATTCGACGCTGGGTGGTAAGCTGTGGAATGTATTTTCTTGGAACCAATTAGCTGGGTGAGGGCCTGAAACAAACGAGACTCAAACTGTGTGCCACGATCGGTGGTGATAGTGGATGGAGCTCCGAATCTTGCAACCCATGAGTAATAGAATGCATTGATGATTGTGTCTGTTGTAGTATCGTAAATAGGGATCGCCTCTGGCCAGCGAGTAAATCTATCAATAATAGTTAAACAGTATTTAAAATTTCTTGAAGAATGGAGCGGGCCGATAATATCCATATGGATATGTCTAAATCTTTCATCCGGAATAGCAATCTTGTCAGACGTGTTTTTGACATGTCGCGATATCTTGCTGCGTTGACACGGAAGACATGTGTGAATCCATTGCTTAATATCTTTGCGCATTGACGGCCACACAAACCGACGAGCAATAAGTTTCTGCGTAGATTTGATACTGGGGTGTGCCAGATTATGAACTACGTTAAAAACTTGCTGTCTAAGAGTTAGTGGAACATATGGACGAATATCGTTTGTTGAAATATCACAATATAAAATGGTGCCGTCGTCATCACAGCGTAGCTTTCTAAGAATGAGAGATGAAGAATCCGGTGCGTTCACTAAGCTTCTGAGCTCTTCGTCTTCTTCCTGATGCTTGGCGAGCTCTTCAGTGGTGACGATGATGGGCATGGGCATGTTAATTTGTTCAATACGTGAGAGGCTGTCTGCAACCGAGTTATTTTCTCCGGATATGTGAACGATCCGAGTGGAAAATTGACCAATGAAGTCTAATTGTCGTTGTTGCCTCGGTGATGTCTTGTCAGCTTTCTGAAGAAATGCGTAAATTAAAGGTTTATGATCAGTTTTAATGATGAGCTGCTGTCCCTCGCAGAAGTGACGGAAAAATTTTAGGCTAAGGTATATAGCAAGGAGTTCGCGATCGTAAGCGCTATAATTTTGTTGAGCGGAAGAGAGTTTTTTTGAAAAGAAACCTAGAGGTTGCCACACACCGTTAACCTTTTGTTCAATTACTGCTCCTACGGCGAAGTCGGAAGCGTCGGTAGTCAGGGATATGAGAGCGCCTTCATGTGGATGGAAAATTAAAGAGGCCTTTGCCAGTTGTTGTTTGCACTCTATAAAAGCACGGTTACTTTCCTTGTTCCAAACAATTATACGTTTGTCGTGCTTGGTCGCTCCAGCGAGATGAACATTGAGAGGAACTTGCATCTTGGCTGCATCCTTAATAAATCTGTGATAATAATTAATCATTCCAAGGAATCGTCGTAATTCCTGTATTGTTTTTGGTCTTGGATAATTTTGAATAGATGTGACACAATCTGGTAAAGGCTTAGTACCGAACTGATCGATGCAGTAACCCAAATATTCGATTTCCGACACGCCGAAGATACATTTTGAAAAATTGATCGATAAACCAAATTCACGCAATCTATCGAAGACCAATCGTAGATGCTTCTCATGTGTTTGATGATCAGGTGAAGCAATTAGAATATCATCAATATATGGATGGCAGAAATTCAATCCGCGCAAAGCTGTGTCAATGAGTCTTTGAAAGGTCTGCGCTGCATTACGGAGACCGAACGGCATTACATTGAATTCAAAGAATCCAAAAGGCGTGATAATTGCAGTTTTGTGTCTATCTTCTTTGGCAAGTGGAACTTGATGGAAAGCACGAGTAAGGTCTAGTTTTGTAAATATTTTACATCCATTTAGTGAATAAGAAAAATCATGGATATGCCGTAGCGGATATTTGTCTGGTACCGTGACAGCATTGAGACGGCGGTAGTCGCCGCATAATCTCCATTTGTTGTCCTTCTTGGGAACCATATGCAGAGGAGATGCCCACGGGCTTGATGAAGGTTGACATAACCCTTCCTGAATCATCATATCCAGTTCTGCTTTAGCTATTTTAAATTTTTCTGGAGGAAGTCGACGAGCTCGTTCAGATGTAGGAGGTCCGTGTGTAACAATGTGATGCTGAATCTGATGAGCACCTTCTTTGCGGGCAACAGATTTGGTTATATCAATGTATTCTTTCAACAATTGGTGGTATTTACAACCAGCACTAATAGTAGTTATTGACGGCATAGGCAGATAGCGCAAATTGCCGGGAACATGTAGATCAGTTGTTCCATCAACAAGACGCTTGTTGTTGAGATCGACCAAGAGATTGAAATGGCGGAGGAAGTCTGCACCAAGAATTGCATATGTAACGTTGGCAATGGTAAATTTCTAAAGGAAGGAGCGTCTAAGACCTAAATCCACTTGAGCCACTTTCTGTCCGTACGTATTAATTTCGGATCCATTTGCTGCAAATAACTTGAAATCGCCAGGAGAATTCGATAATCTGAACTTATCTTTGGGTAAAACAGATATATCTGCACCAGTGTCAATTAGACAATTTAAATTTGACTTACGGTCACGCAGAAACAGGCGATTTTGTTTAATCCCCACCGATAGCGCCTGTGCACGCGGTGGCTTCGTTAGTTTTCCGATCTCTTTTCCGTAAAATAACTGCATGGCTGAAAGCATTTTTTAGCTCTGTCGTTGAATTGACGGTGATACCAACAAACTGGATTTTTATCTTGATTACGCTCAGAGGATCCTGACTTGTTACGAGTACTGCGTGAATGTCGAGAGAGAGATCTTTGCCGTGAACGTTGACCACGCAACTCCTTAGTCAATGCATCAATACGTTTAGAGAGATCGTCGATAGGATCACTTGCGCATACTTGGGTGGAAATAGCGTTTGCTACTGCATTGATTGTAGGCTTGGTGATCTCAAAGATCCGATCAGCTTGAGAGGCTAAAACAGTTAAATCCGTGACTTCGCTGATGGCTAAAACTGATCTTACATTTTCAGGCAATTGCTCTAGAAATAATGTTCGTAAGATCGAGTCATTGCATTGTCCGCCAGCTAAATTTCTAAGCCGTTGGAGGAAATTGGACGGTTTATCATCACCGAGTTCGTTTCCGCGTATGAGCTTTCTCAATTTTGATTCGCCAGTTTCGTCAAAAGAGCGTATAATACGGTCTTTAAGAGCTTGATATCTCTCAGTTGGTGGGGGGTTGGAAATAATATCTGACACGAAGGGCAACGCGGTGTTATCCAAATGCAAGATAACGTACCTGTATTTTGTATCATCACTTGTAATACGAGAAATATTGAATGCAGCTTCTACCTGTGCAAACCACAATGCCGGGTTCTCTTTCCAAAATGGCGGAATTTTTGCGTACGTTGCAGCCTCGATGCTAGCTGAAGGGACAAGTACGTCGGCCAACGTCTGCTCTTGTTGATTGCTGGCCATATCCTCTGGTATTGGGAGGTCGATAAGAGATTGAGTGTCAGATGATTGAGTACCAATTCTTGTTGGCGAATGCTCAATAGGCATAACGGAATGCGTTAATCTTGAATTGTTCAGTATCTGCCAAAAAGAGAATTTGATGCCACACGGATCACGTCGGGGTCACCAATTGTGGCGGTAGGCACAACTATTAATATTATAATCGAGATATCTGGTTAATAAATTCTTTATTGCTTATACAATAATACACGGACTGTCGTTAGAAGTTCAGTCGAATAAAATAATCAAGTAAAAGTTAGGTAATCCCCAGGAAGGGGGAAAACATCTCTCTAACAGTATATACCAACCTACATATATAAAGTAACTAAACATAAATACCAACTTAAATCTAAAGGAGCGCCACAGATGGTTAGAGATTCTATAATCAGAATTTGGCCAAAGCGGACCAAAGATGGCGGATAGAAGGAGATAACAGATATTGCTTTCTTTCTCGTATTACGCATGCGCAGAAAGCGTGACAGGTCGGTATTCATAAGTCGGTTCTTATTTCAAAACCATCTTAAGCAATGTCTTAAGACACTAATGCAGTCTTCTGATTGGTTTATGAGACCTCAAAATTGAACTTAAGATGGCCTGGAATATAAGAACTGACTATGAATACCGGCCTGTGTCAGAAAATAGGTAACAGCAGGTCATATGGTGATATGGTTATAAACAAACACCTTATGTCCACGATGTTAAAAATCGCTCTGAAGTCTCAGAAAAGAAACTGGCCAATCGAGTTAATCAATTGGCTAAATTATTTAATTGTAATTTATTAATTTTCTTTATCCAGGATTATCTTGGAACAGTTTCTAACCTTTTTGAGACAAGGCTATAATTAGAGCAATCTGTCTCTTTCTATTCTTCGAACTCGTTTTCCGACAATGTACGAAGTTATCCAAAGAATACCAAATGGACCGAGGTAGAGAACCAATCAGAAGTTGTGCCCGCTTTGGCCAAACTCTGCGGGTGCGATTACAAGGAGCGCCGTACGCTGTACGCGGTATGCGATTCTCTAGCTGCCTAGTTAAGCGGGGAGCACAGACTTTGGCATAACGCATAAAGCATGTGCATAAGGAATTTCATTGGTCCAGCATGAGTCAATGGACCAATCAAATTCTTTATGTATATAGTTTATGCGTTATGCAAAAGTCTGTGCTCCCCGCTTTAGTTAACCGCGTACCGCGTACCGCCTATTTCTTTTTCCTGATATTACATGGAGGGCGGTTTGCGGCACGGGCTAGTGACAAACTTACATTAGTATAAATTTTTTTAAATATATTAACTTATTTTTATTTACACTTTATCGATACTCTTATTTTTTTAACAGATTTACTTAATAATTGCGTTTAAATCAATTAATTCCATTAAAAAGTGCATAGCAACGTATAGGCTGTCTTCCCATAGTCCCCTTGCCAGTCAGTAAAATAATATTACTAGGATGACGTCATCCTACTGACTGGAGAAGTGTTCCCATTCTCGCCAGTAAAAAGTGACGTCAGGATTTGTTGCGTTTCTATGCCCTACGCTTTCTACAGTTTTCGTTTCATATTACAGTTTCATTTCATATTTTCGTCATCAGTGATCTTCATTGAATAGATAAGTAAATAATATATATTCCATGTAGCAATGTTTACTTGTAACTCTGTAATATTTGGGTACCGGAACGAAATCGTTGTCCAACCTCTTTAGTCGCCGGGGTCAATTATTTTAAGACATGGGTACCGAAATATTACAGAGTTGCAAGTAAACATTGCTACATGGAATATATATTATTTACTTACCTATTCAATGAAGATCACTGATGACGAAAATATGAAATCAAACTGTAATATGAAACGAAAACTGTAGAAAGCATAGGGCATAGAAACGCAACAAATCCTGACGTCACTTTTTACTGGCGAGAATGGGAACACTTCTCCAGTCAGTA